CTACAGTATTTTTGCAGTCTTTATTTTACAGTTAAAATATATATTTATCAAATAAAGTTTAATGTTACAACTAATCGGGGATCCCTTTAAGATGTGATGTGGTGATGCTGCGCGCTCCTCGAACTTTGCTCTCGCCGTTTGAAACTGACAAACCGCTCGCTGAACTTTATCTCCGGAGGAGTTCGGTCACGAGGACGAGCCCGGAGTTCTGAACTCTGGACCGGACGGCCACGTCGTGATAGAAAAGATTAAACAGATAAAAAAAAAAGATGTGAATCCCCTGATATAAAAGCTAATCTGCACACAAACTGACGGCTCCTCCGTGTTGCTGTTTCAGCTGCCGGGATCTTCTTCTCTTTTTGTCAACTACTTTTAAAAATAAAACACATCAGTTGACTTCTCAACAGTGAAGACTCATAAAGCAGAGATTTAGAAAAAAAAAGAGAGAAAAAAAAACACAGACAGGAGGGATAATTCAGCTTTATGTTTCCCCTCCACAGTGTCTCCCTGGCGTTTCTGCTACGTGAGTGTGTGTTACATCTTTGTATTAGGCTGAGATTTCAGAGATCTCATACTGTACCGTGTTTTTTGGTGGGTTCACGGAACAAGAGTGCCCAAGGCACGCTCCTTTGGGAAGCCTACGGCAAAGAACACATGCATGTACAGCCATGGGGGTACATCACTATGTACAACAATGGCTAACACGCACACACACGCACACACACACTCACACACACACACACGTGTGAAGGCACCACTAACACATACACACTCTAACATAAGCAAATGAGCTACAGGCGCACACACAAGAACAACATGTGATGGTGAGTGGGACCTGTGTTACCTGACATATAAACAGTTTAAAGGTACTCAGCGCAAAGAATGAAACCAAACGTAAATAAGAACAGGAACTACATATAATTAAAAGAATTTACACCAGCACTTTTCCAGATATATTCAGAGGTTTATAGTAACTAATAGGGCTGTGTATTGGCAAGAATTTGGCGATACGATACATATCATGACAGAGGGGTCACGATACGATATATCCTGATACATCCCGATATATTGCGATACTGTAAACAAGGCGATATATTGCGATTTTTTGGTCCAAAAATTCTATTAAATAAAAACCTCTTATTGGGGAAAAAAAAATGAAAAACCAAACTTCATTGTCTCAGAAAATCCTAATATTACATAGACATACTTTTGATACATTTAGCTGTGTTCTGCTTTGTATGTTTTTTATTTTATTTGTTTCATATTTCTTATTTCATGCATGTTTTCAATTATTAGACTAAATTTGCCAATAAATAAGTTGAAAATATATTTTTGCAGCTTTTAGTTTTTAATATTAATTTACAATATGGTCACCAAACACCTCAAGAGGTAGAGGAGCCAAATGGCTGGCTCACTGCTGCCAACTAGCCGTTCATTTTTGTGTTGTAGTTCAGCCTCTGACCACTAGTTGGCAGCAGTGAGCCATTTGGCTGGCTCACTGCTGCCTACTAGTGGTCAGAGGCTGAACTACAACACAAAAATGAACGGCTGGCAGGAAAGTTGACATTTTAAACCTTAATTAAAAATCGATACAGGGCTTTAGAATATCGATACAGTATTGGGAAATGAAATATCGCGATATTTCAYTGTATCGATATTTTCTTACACCCCTAGTAACTAAGTACATTTACGTCGTTACAGTACTTAATCTTTTTTTTTTTGAGGATTTGTAATTTTACCAAGTATTTTTTTAATTATTAACTTTTATTTTGTTACATTTAAAACCTAAAAAGACACTTTTACTTCTTTACTTAACATCTAGTTACTTGTTATAAATTAAATCTGTCTGAACTCATCATGAAATGAGTTGTTTCTGTTCTAAAAATGAAGGGTTGAATTTACTCAACTGGTTATACTAAACCTAGTAAATTATTTTTATCAACCTGGTTTAGTGGAACCAGTTTGGTTAAAACAGTCACCCCTGAAACTCCTTAAACTCCTTTTGACCTTTTTTTAAAGGTGTCAAACTAAAGGTAAGAGCCAGAGGAAGTTGTCTGACACCCTAGCTTTCAAAATAAAAGCCCCCCAGTAGCATCTGGAAACGCTGAAAGGCAGAAATCCCATCATTTTTGCCCACTTGTCAATTAAAGACTGTTAAGGGGTTCAGTAAATTCATTAGAGAGTGTGTACAAGTAATTTTAGTTTCCCGATTTTTGTGAACAGTTTTACGACTTTTACTAAAGTACTTTCTCATCAGTGAAATTTATTTGTACCAAAGTCATTTTCTGTTCAGGTATTTTTACTTTTACTTATTTTTTTTTCAAGTACTTTATAGACCTCTGGATATATTGATATGTAATGAAATGAGGGTACGCACTCAGTGTAAACACAAAGCACTCGGCTGAATTGAGCAAAAAACCATGTGGAAGCTTGAAGGATTGACCTACATTAGGCCGGCTGTAGTCTGAGCAGGAAGACAAACACAGCCGGCAAGTTTAAATATTTTCAGTCTTTGGTTGTTTCTATAGAGAAAATAAACGCACATGGTAGCTGGCACAAGTTGTAATTTAAAGACACATTAATTACCAATATGAAAAAAATACTGTTCAGATTTTGTTTCTTACCTGGTGTTTTTTTTGGTTCAGTCTTTGCAATGAGTCACTTTAACTTCAAAAAGAATCAGTGTATASATCGTACCTTTTTCTGCTGTAAAATGTGTCATGAGGCAGAATTTAAAAGTAGCAATAATAGACTAAACAACACTGGAGGAAAGGTGTGTGTGGCGGGGGGGCTATGTTTTCAAGTGCACATTGTCGTGAAGTGTCTGACCTTACTCGCAAGTTTATGTTTGAGGGAGTGAAACAAGGCCCACCTGCAGGATGGCCCCATAGAGGCGCAGCAGGACGCTCCTCGGCTCGTCCCCGACAGAAACCAGGCTGTCGGGAAGGCTGCACAGGAACAGCTTGTTGCTCAGACCGCCCCTGGAGGACAAACAGGAAATCTGGCATGAGTTTGAAGTTTTAATTGATCGTGTAATTATCTGGTTTTGATGAGGCTTCGGAGCAGATCTCGGTCTCACACACTCTTGTTTTAAATGCACAATGGGACTTAAATCAAACGGTTATTCCTAAAGCTGCACTGATTCTATTCATAGGAGCCAGAATAGAAACCCACTCAGCCGTTTCCTGTGCAAAAACAAGCGGAACAGCAACGCTTTTCATCAGAAAGTCCATCCATTTTCTTTACCGGGTCACAGGGGAGCGATCAGAAACTGTTACACATGCTCAGCTTTACAGTTAGCAGTTTGGTGTGTAAAGGGAAGGAACGTGTGTTTTCATGCAGAGTGTTCATGCATCTTGTGTTGAGAAATGATGAGGCTGCAGCTGTGTTTGGTCAAAACTAAACAGTGGTGGGATGTAACTAAGTACAAGTACTTAACAAATCAGAGTATTAAAAATATACATACAGCAGGGATACTTCATGATATTGTAGACCATTAGGGAATACATTAAGCAAGTACTTTTACTTTTAATACTTTAAGTATTTTTTTAAAAGCAAGTACTTACTTTTACTCGAGTAAAATGTTAATGTGGAACTTTTACTTACACTAGAGTACATTTTTGTCCGTTTATCTGTACTTTTCAGTACAGTGTTATGAAAATAAATAAAACGAGCTTCTGAAAATGGTGTAGTTTGATAGGAAATTCTGAAATGTGGGTATGCACTCAATGTAAACAAAGTGCTTTTATCAGCATACCTTACATGTTGTCCCAGTTCCAAACGGTGACCTGTTTTTTTGTCACTTTAACTGTTTTTTTAAAGCAAAGTTTGCAAATTATGATCATTTAAAAATAATAAAAACAACAAATAAGACCGAGGTGATGTTTATATCAAGTCCTCCTTAGTTTCATTGAATTAAATGTTACATTTTWGGACAAACAAAGGAATAAAACTGATCTGTTTCACTGAGTTAAACAAACCTAAACGCATGGTTTCAGTGCTGTTTAAGCAGCGTCATCTGGTCACATGGCTCCTCTGACTCATTTTTTTATTTACTAAACAAGTAATGAGACAAAAGCGTCTCCATCGCGTGCCTGTTATTCTTCAGGCCCACGACGGACACGTTTGTAACCTTATAATGGTGATCTGGAAGTCCTCCTCGGCCAGGTTCTTCCAGGCTCCGTGCAGGAACTCCCTGCACCACAGATGCGCCTTGCGCCGGGTGTCCAGGTCCGGCTGGTCGGGCCGGACCAGCTCCTTCCTGCAGTCCTCCTGGGTGTCGGGCTGGACCTGCAGGGCGTTCTCGGTCACCAGAAGGCCCAGCGACATGGACGGCGACGACGAAACCCCGTTGATGAATTTGGTTTTCATTTTTTATGAAAAAGATTATTTCAAACCAACGAAGAAGAAGAAAAARCGCAGCTCGCACGGCTAGGCTTCGATTGATTGTTTCAGGAGTAATGATAAAAGCAGGTCGATGAAGTTTAAATTGTTTTTTTCTTTATTACTAGTTCGAGTGTCGTTTTAAATTCGTATCTTACGCCAACGTAGCCTTCAGATACCGAAAGAAGCTTCTAAAGCGAGGGAATGAATCGACGTGAAGAGATGCGCAGAGTATCATCAAAATGGGCGGGACGCCAAGGGAGGAGATGACCACGCCTCTCCTCGTCTCTGATTGGCTGATTAAAAAAGCGAAACGGCGAAGGACCACAACAAATCCTTTGGTGCCTTCACGGAATGCCGGATAAAAAAAAGAAACAAAATACTGCTATAATGTACAGTAGATATATTTTTTTTTTTTTGTAGACAATTTGAAAGATACGCAAACATTCAAGTCCTACAATTAAAATAAATACAAACCAATTGAACTTAATCCATTTAATCTCACCGGCAACAATTGTTGCCAGACTTTATGTTTTAACTCTGGAAGCTATAAAAGTGTTATTTTTGGCTTTGGGCAGCTAATTTAAGTTTTACAACAGTATAATAGGCTGTCAACTTCTTTTTAGTTGTATCACTTTCATGTAGTTAGTGTGAATGGTCACATGACTACACCCCTTGACTTCTTGCCTGCCCTGCTGGATGAAAAAGTCAACCTCAAACTGGTACACAATGGAGTGAATAAAATATCTTAATAAACATATAATTGAAATATTTTGTACATATATTCTTTAAAGGGTCTTCTGCTGAGATATATCGAGAATTTTATGCCTGCATGCATCTTTTGATCATGAGAAGAGTGAAGTTAAGCACGGCAACAATTGTTGCTGCTAGTATAATACATAGAGCTATGCTAGRTGTCAAAGGTTTGACTGTTTATTTTATTTATCTTATAGGGTTTTTTTCCCACTCAGATTAAAACCATCAGATGTTTTAAATCTTTTAGACCTGAAAGAACTCCAAAATGATGTGTGCTACATCAGGGGGTCCCACACTTTTCCATTCCATAAGCCCCAAAAACAGCATAAGTGTTTGGCTGGGGACCCACTTTGCAAACCTGCAAACAATGTTACAAAATATGTAAAATGTTTTTTAAATAACTTTTTCAAAGTATTGTATTTGTTTAGCATTAAAATTTCATTAACTAAAATGTGTTAAGCACTATTATAATCCCACTAAATAACC